CATCCTTCTTGTGCTAAAAGCGCGCGTGGAGCGCTAGCAGCAGCTGCACGAGCCTTATTTTGGTCGCAGTGCCACGTCGGCAGACGCCTCTCGACTCACTCGGCCGATAGAGAGCCAAGAGCTTGGCACGTGACCCGAACGCTCGGCCATGAGTCAGAACTTGGCAAGAGAACTCAAATTGAAGACTCATCACACGCAGACTCAACTTCTCTTCAGGCTCTCGCCCTGCGTGGCTGGCCCATCAGAGCTTGACATGTGGCACAAAGGCTCATTATTCATAGGACCGACTGATCTTTGTGGGCACTACTGTTTGTATGCAATATACCGATGCTGATGAAAATGCTGCGACCACGCACGCATCTGTTGCAACCTCAAGCCCGCGGAACGGCTGGATGGACCCTTTTGAGGGAGGGAGACACTCTTCTTTCGAGGAGTTTGGCTTGGGTTCGCGTGATCTTCTTGCCCATGCGTGCGAATTTCAGGCTTATCTCCTCGCTGCCGCTTCTCCGCACTTGTTGCTGGCGATGGCCGGTCGCCCCCGTCTGACACGTCCCTTTGCACATCGGCTGCTGGGCCAAGCTTGTCTTGTTCTCTGGCCTCGCTCACGATGACGCGGGCGACTCCGACTCTCGAGCATTTGTTTGTCGCGAACGAATGGATGAACAACAGTTGAACTGAGTGAGCCGAACACAACACCTCCCACGGCCCCGCCGTTGCGACCACCACAACCGCACCAGCAGGTGACCCCCATCGTGCAGCCCATCCATCACCTGCTGGAGCGATGATGATGATGATGAAGGGGCGCACGCATACACGCACCGACACATATCATATGCCACACGCGTTTGCGCGCCCGCGAATCGCCGCACGTGAGCGGCGCGCAGCAGGGCTTGCAGCAGGAGCCCAAAAGGTCGAGCCCCTGGCGCCGCTCGCAAGCACCGCACCCACAGGACCTGCAACGCAAGTCGAGCGGCCAATCGGCAAGCAGGCGCGCGCGCCCATGATCGAGGTTCATTCGTATCTTCAAGCCCCCACACGGCCGCCATCTTGACTGGAGCGTCCTCGACGTCCAACACCCTCGCTTCTTAATCGCGGACGCTGTGCGAGCCTTGTGCGCGCCCACAGATTGTCACGTAGTGTGCCGCACGTCGGCTCCTCTGCCCGAGACACCGCTAGCAATCGGCCGCTGGTACCTCAGCGCATCCAAGGTCGCACTTACATTCACGATCCAGGGTAGGCATTTCTCTCAGCATTGTTTCAGGCCCCTTCAAGCGGCTTTTGGAGTGTGCTTGCGCTCCTACCAAACGCTTTGCGACGCCGAGCGAGCGTCCAGTTGCACATCTCCATCACACCTTCGGCCCAAGGACGTGCCATGGGAAATATTCTCTGTGGCTGTTGTAAGTGCTCGCTGTCGTAGACCACAGCACTCGTGATGCGCGGTGCGGCTACGTAGCTGAACCGAGTGGCGCCTTCGCCTTTGCTCCACAGGCGGTCGCTCGCGCAACGCTCAGTACGAGCCACTGCTGCTCGACAATGAGCGCGACGCTGTAGCCGACTTGTTGCAATATCTCGAGAGTAAGTAGGGGCGTCAACATGAAGCTCGTCGTAGCATGCAGTCTGAGACAGGCCCACGTTTTCGCTATCCGCCCATGAGCAGACAGGGCAGAGACGGACTTTTTCACGGGCGACCCTCTTAGGTCTCTTTCCACCCTTTCATTCAGCGACAATGTCGACCTTCAGCGCAGCGCAGCCCTAGCGTTTGCGGAAATTACGGAAAAGGAGGTGCGAGAGGTGGGCAGGGATACGCTCGAGCCAATCATGTTCTTGCTGCAGAGCCACGATGTCGAGGTTCAGCGCGCTGCCAGTGCAGCGCTTGGCAACTTGGCCGTGAATTGTGAGTGGTCACGATAGGCAGGAAAGGGGTGCGGCGGGCGCTCGGCCAAGGAGCTGCTCGGTACGCGTCCGTTGCACGACGTTGACCAAGTCATCTCGTCCTACAGCCGAGAATAAGCTTCTCATTGTCAAGCTTGGCGGTCTCGAGCCCCTGATCCGCCAAATGCTCAGCCCGAACGTCGAGGTTCAGTGCAACGCAGTCGGATGCATCACCAACCTGGCAACGCATGGTGCGTCGGACGCCCAGAGCGCGCTCGAATGACCAAGTCACTGACAGAGCTGTTCTTCCGCAGACGAGAACAAGACCAAGATCGCAAAATCCGGCGCATTGGTTCCGCTCACCCGCTTGGCCCGCTCGAAGGACATGCGTGTTCAGAGAAACGCCACAGGTGCACTGCTGAACATGACTCACAGCGACGAGAACAGGCAGCAGCTTGTCAATGCAGGTGCTATTCCCGTCTTGGTCGGTCTGCTGGGAAGCAGCGACACGGACGTCCAATACTACTGCACAACCGCCCTGTCGAACATTGCCGTGGATGCTGCCAACCGCAAGAAGCTTGCGCAGACGGAGCCGAGGCTAGTCCAGAATCTGATCGGCCTCATGGAAAGCTCCAGTTTAAAGGTGCAGTGCCAGTCCGCGCTGGCTCTTAGGAACCTCGCCTCGGACGAAAAGTACCAGCTCGAGATCGTGCGCAGCAACGGACTGCCGCCTCTCCTCCGCCTTCTTCGCTCTTCATTCTTGCCCCTCATCCTTTCAGCTGCGGCATGCGTTCGCAATGTCAGCATCCACCCTCTCAACGAATCGCCGATCATTGACGCAGGCTTTTTGCACCCTTTGATCGACTTGCTGAGCCACGAGGACAACGAAGAGATACAATGTCACGCCATCTCGACACTGCGCAACCTCGCTGCATCGTCGGAACGCAACAAGACGGCGATTGTGGAAGCTGGCGCGGTCGAGCGTATCAAGGAGCTAGTGCTCAACGTGCCTCTTTCTGTGCAGTCGGAAATGACGGCCTGCGCAGCCGTGCTGGCTCTTTCAGAAGACCTCAAACCTCAACTACTCGAGATGGGCATCTGCGAGGTCTTGATTCCCCTCACTGCCTCGCCATCGGTAGAGGTTCAAGGAAACTCTGCTGCTGCTCTTGGCAACCTCAGCTCCAAGTCTGACGACTATGCGCCTTTCAATGCCGTCTGGTCTGAGCCAGAAGGCGGTCTGCATGGCTACCTCGTCCGCTTCCTCGAAAGCGCCGACACGACCTTCCAGCACATTGCAGTGTGGACAATCGTTCAGCTGCTCGAGAGCGGCGATGCTCAGCTCGAGCAAAACATTCGCGAGTCTCAGCAGGTCTTGCCTCTCATCCGACGCTTGTCTGACACGCCCGCGGGCAGCGAGCGAGGGGGATCCGCCTTGGCAGGGCCCAATGGCGATGGAGGTTCTGACGATGGTGGGGACGCGGAAGGCGAAATTGCCAGCCTGGCCCGCCGAATCCAAGACATGCTTCTCGACGATGGTGGTGCGTCAGCCAGCGCATCGGATGCGCACACCGATGGCAGGTGATCGCGTCTCCCCTCACCGTGTGGCTAAGCCGCACATACTGCGAGGGCCTTGGGCATATGCGAGCGTATTCTCATGATCAAGCGATTGTTCCCACGCTCAACCGAGCTTATTTCTCTGGCGCCTATCGCTCCACTTGAGCCCTTCTTCCTTCTGTTCGTCTGTCCCTTGCTTCACACGACACGCGCAAGACAAGACTGCGAATGATATTTCACACCCTATGGATTCTCAGAGTGAAGAGTGATACAGAATTACGGCTGGTCCTGACCCGAAATGCGCAGATGCGCATTTTGCGCCGCGCGTCGCGGCCCCCTGGGCGTGGAGAGACGTTTGAGAGCACCTTTTTATGCCCACGCTGCGCGAGGGTGGGGGAGCAGCTATTGACACTGGCTTCCCTTGCCCACATTCACACTGCGCGGGCGTCGAAGGTGTTTTGACGCATGCTCACCTACGACTAGGACAGGTGAAATGAAGGACCATGATTGCATCGCGCGCCATCTGTAAGGGCAGACGTCGAAGCTTGCTCGCATGATCGCGTGCACGCCACTCGCCGTGTTCCATATGAGCACCGCGGGGACCCGGCCTCGATGCCGATGCGCACAGTCACAAGTCAGACTCTCGATCACGATTCACGACTGTTGGCTCGACGATACCGCTGAAGCGCCAGACAAGCATCACG